CGCTGCTGCCCAGCTCCCGCCCTGCCTGGTGTGGGCAAGGCGTCCTCGCCTTGCAGCAGAGGGGATGGAGGGCAGGAGCATGGGGCACGAAGCAGGGCTGAGATGCTGGATGGAGCCGAGCAGGCAATGGGGTGGGCTCGTGCCTGAGGATGGAGCCCACATGGGTTTCCCAGACGGGGCCGTGTGCGTGGCAGCCCTGCTGGCCCCCTGCCCCAGCCACAAGCGCTCGCTCTTTTCTCTTGGACTCGGTTCCCAGTGGCCCGTCAGAAATGTCTGTGGGGAGCTCCGGGGCTTATCGCCCACTTGGTGCCTTCCTGTGATAATCGCCCCCAGCCGATAGCGGGGCCGACAGCAGCTGGGCTGGGGCCCGCGCCCACACAGGGCCTCTCATCTCAGGCCAAGATGGGGGGGGGAGAAGGCGAAGCTCAGTGGAAGCCACGGTGCTCTGTGTGCCTGTTAAGGGCCTGACTGCTCACAGGATGCTTAATGGGCAAAAGGATGCCGAAACAGGTCCTGGTGGCACGCTGCCGGGTTGGAGCTTGGAGATGCCTCTCTGCTGAGCTGCCGCAGGGTGCCGGTGCTCCAGCCCTGCGGTCCAGCATGAGCCAAATAGCCGGAGTGTTTGATGCAGGCGAAATCCTCGAGTGCTTGGGTCGGCTGTCGCTGGCAGACCCGCAGGCTGGGTGCATTTTGGGGTGTAGGCATGGCCATGGTGGTCTCTGAACACCAGTGGGGACGGAAGCGATCCCGAGGGAACTGTGGTTGCCACTCATCATCCTAACGCTCCCCTCTCTCCCCAGCACGATGGGAAGCCCTTCTGCCACAAGCCCTGCTACGCCACGCTGTTTGGCCCCAAAGGTATGTCCGTGCTCCCCCCTCTGCCTGTTGCAGACGTGCCCAGGGCTGCAGGAGGGGCCAGGTCCCCCCATCGCCGCTGGCAGGGGGCTGCAGCCCTGAAAGCACCCCAGGAGCCTGCCTAGCATGGGCTGAGCATCAAGCCAGCACTTTGCTGTCCCAACATTGCTGTTCCCTTGTGCAGAGGGAGAGGAGAGCTGCTGGAGGAGGGGATCCATCCTAACAGCTGTCCTTTTTTTTTTTTTTTTAAAATGTATTTAAAAAAACAATTCCCGTTCAAACAGAAGGTGGAGTTGCTCTCCTATCCCAGGGGGAGGTGGGGCAGGGGGGCTGGGGAGAGGACGGTGACCCTGAGCGCTCCCAGGCCACTGCAGCCTCTCTCTGCCCCACTGCAGGGGTGAACATTGGTGGTGCTGGGTCCTACATCTATGAGAAGCCGCAGATCGAGGGGCAGACCGCTCCAGGGCCCATCGAGCACCCAGTGAAGGTGGAGGAGAGGAAGGTGAACGCTGCGCCTCCCAAGGGACCCAGCAAAGGTGAGGGGCAGGGCAGGATGAGCAGCCTGGCCCTCCCGCCATGGCGTTCAGCCGGTCCAGAGCTGCTGCGTTTGGGGATGGTGTGGGATGCAGGGTGTGTACGGGGGGTCCTCTGCCCCCATGTGTCCTGGCTGAGACTGTCCCTCTGCTTCCCATGCCCTCTCTCCTTCCAGCCTCCAGCGTCACCACCTTCACCGGGGAGCCCAACATGTGCCCGCGCTGCGGCAAGAGAGTCTACTTTGGTAAGGTGGCCAGCGGGCAGTGGGTGTCTGCCCTGGGATGGCATGGCCCCGTGGTGCTGGGGCTCCATGCAGGACCCCGGGGCATGCAGAGGGGATGGGAGGGGCTTTTGGCTCAGAGATGGGGTTGGGGGCACAGAGGGATGTGCCCAAGGAGCCTGCAGGGATGGGTCCTCTTGGAGGAGCTCCTGGGTGCGGGGCCTCATCTGCATCGTGTCCCCTGCTGTCATCTCCCGGGTGGGTGGCGTGGGCTTGATAGCTGTCCTCGGCCAGCCTCCATCACCTGCGAGGCAGCAGAGGGGCGGGAGAGATGCGGGAGGCTGGGATGCACAGGGCTGTCTCGGGATTTTGTATGCAGAGGTGGTGTCCCCACAGGGCATGCTCCCCCTCGGCACGTGTCAGGGGGGCCAGCGTGACCTTCTCTCCTTGTCCCCGTTTTAGCTGAGAAGGTGACTTCGCTGGGGAAGGACTGGCACCGTCCCTGCCTACGCTGCGAGCGCTGCAGCAAGACGCTGACCCCGGGGGGCCACGCCGAGGTGAGGATGCCCCTGCCCGAGAGCCCCTGGGCAGCACGCATGGGGGATTCCAGCGGGGCATGGCTGAGCCGTGCTGTGCCTTCCTGTGCCATTTGGGCAGCCCCTGCCTTTGCAAGAGGGCGGGGCAGGGCTGGCAGGAGCAGCTCCTGCAGCTGGGGAGGGAGCTCTGGGGGTGCTGGGGTGCAGGTGTCCGCAGGGGATGAGCAGAGTGGGAGAGGTGCCCAGCCAAGGGGACGTGTCCTGGGGACTGGCCTTTCCCCAGCCTCCCGCCCCCGGTGACATGCTGCTCCTCTCTCTGCCCCGCACAGCACGATGGACAGCCGTACTGCCACAAGCCCTGCTATGGGATCCTCTTCGGGCCAAAGGGTGAGTGCCTGGGGGCGGCCTGGGGGCACGCACCCCACCTGGGCTGCCGCTCTCGATGCTCATGCCACCGCCCAGGGGGGACATCTCCCTGGAGCCTGCCACCTTTCCGCCCGAGTCCTCACCCTCCTGCATCTCCCCTCACACAGGTGTCAACACTGGAGCTGTGGGAAGTTACATCTACGACAAAGACCCCGAGGCAAAGAACCAGCCCTAGACGGTGTCTCCCTGCCCGCCCTCCTGCTCTGTGCCCCCGTACTAACCTGCTGCTCGCAGCCGGAGCAGACCCTCGCCAGGCTGGCCACGGAGCTGTGCTCTCTGCTGTCTACTCCGGGCAGGATGGCCCTGCCCCTCGGGTTATATATCATAGTCTCTAATATAAGCTTCAGTGTTTAAAGGCAAAGGTAGAAGGTGTCTCTGGTGGTGCCCAATGCGCTCTGCCCTCCCCAGCCCTCCCACCAGCCCCCCTGAGCATGGGGACGGGTGTGGGGATGGGGATGTCGCTGTGTGCAGGGGACAGTGGGTGGCACCCTAGGGGCTGAGAGTGGCTGGGGGGGGAAGGTGGTGGCAGGAATCCCACCACGGGAGGGTGCTCCCTCCTGCCCCCTGCACGGAGGGTGATGGAGCCAGGCAGGCATCCCATGGCGCCTTGGGATGGGGACTGGTGGTCAGGGCACCCAGCCCTGTTCCTTGCCAGCTGCTGGGGACACGTGAGTCCCCTGAGGGCTGTGGCCCATCTGGCAGCACTGCCCTTCTCCTGGCCCTTCCCAGCCTCCATGCCCTGGCCCTCGCTCTCCCCAGGGCCCACAGCCAACCCCAGCCCAACCCAGTTGGGGTTGCAGGGTCTGGCACCTCTCTGCATCCCCATCCTTGCATCCCTGTACGTGGCACCCAGTCAGGTGCCCAACTCGCTCTGCCAGCTGGTTTGGGTTGGACACCCCCCCCAACTTGGTCCCCCGCCCAGCAGAGCCCGTGCCAGGGGGGCACCCGGCAGCCGCAGCCCTGGGGGAGTGGGGCTGCTCCCGGCTTTTGGAGGGTAGAGCGCATTGGGCTGGCGGCTCGGCAGCAGGATACCCACCTGCTGCCCAGAGCTGGAGGTTTCTCGTTGTTGTTGTTGTTTATTTATAAGCAGTTGTAAATGTGCCCCTTGCTTTGGAGAATGACATGTGCCCCCCAGTCTCACCCGTCCCCCCCGTGCACGCCCAACCCCGCTGCTGCCCAGGGGGCCAGGGAGGGGGCCAGGGCAGGAGCCCTGCCAGGGCAGCAAGCCCTGGGGTGCCAGCACCCCTCTCTCTCTGGGCTCCCTGTGCCGCCACGGGGCTGACTTTTGTTATTTGCTGACAATAAAGGTTTTGAGAGATGCGTTGTGTGGCTCAGCTCCAGGCAGAGGCGGGGGAAACAGTGTGTGCCATGCAGCATCCCTCCGGTCCCAGGACAGTTTGGGGACCCTGCCGCTAAGGTT